ATACACGTCGCCGGCCTCGGAACTCCAGAAACTTAGCGTTTATCAATGCCAGCAAGCACTGATAACTGTTAACCAGTCGGGGCGGGATTAACAGGGAAGGAGGCGTCAGCTCAGCCTTGTTGACTCCGCCCTCGTCAATCCAATCGATTTCGAGCCGCAAGAGTGGGATATCCGCTATGGTTGCGAACTCCGCGTTCGTTTTCATTGGAGGGTTTTTTCACTTTGGTTGATCGCGGACGCTGCCTTTAAAGTGGCGGTGATGTGGCAATCATGCTGGAGTTCGCGATGGGCAAAACCTTCATTCATCACTCACAATTGTTGAATGATGTCTATTCCAAAGTGGTTTCGCACCTGCTGGAAGTTTTCGGCTCGTATGACAATCTCTTCAACCAGAAGTGATCTCCATGAAATCGTTCGCAATGGCTCCATCAGTTCAGAAACATTACGTCACGTCACGACATTATCAGGCACAAGAGTTATGCAAAATAGCTTTGAAGTGCACAGGGACCACTTTCGAAAAAAAATGCAAAAGAGCACACGCATCAAGGATCCAAACCCTCGACCACGCATTCGTGAGCCCTACTACGTGTCCCCTGTGCTGCGTAGTGAATGCAAAGATTCTCCCCCTAAAAAGCTCCGTAACTTCTTTCTGGGAGGTCCGCAGCAGATATGGAAGACGGTTTCGTAATCCCCGTCCTTTCAGCCGGTATACATTTCATTTCAAATGGCCACTTCGACCTACCATCCTTCCCTTGTTAGGCGCCCACCGCCCGCCCACGAATGTCCGACCGATGCTGATGCTCGTATCGCTTTGTGAAGTACAATATGAAGGGATTGATATGAAGCGGCTGCGGTGCTGCATGGATATATGAGTACATACATGCAGCCGTATCTACCGTAGCGGTTATTGGCACGATGCCAACGGGGAAACTCGTCCAAAATTGCTCTTCTGAGCTCGTGTAGAACAAGTGCTTCTTTGCGGGTATTTGACCCTTTCACTTAGTTGTTCGCAATTTTTCCGCTGTTTAGAACCCCTGCTGCCATTCTAGGCCGAAGCATTTATCGTGTCCCATGCCTTCAAGTCGCATCATATTTAGTCAGGAAACAAGTATTTAGGTGTGCCGGCTGCCATGGCGTTTAATGTTGTCTTGAGATCCGTTGTACTTTCTGTATGGATTGCTGTATTCCTCTCAATGACCGTTATCTCACTGCAGGGTACTGCATCACTTTCGCGGGTACTGTGTAGAGAGGTGAAGAATTCTGATACTTTCCAGGCGCATGGGGAGACCTTGATTACATGAGCTGCGACAATGCAGCGGTGCCGTGCTACGACCAGCGGTGAGTCAATTTTGTAGAACTGAGAACAAATTTTAGCCAAGATCAGTTTCTATCCAGATTTGTCTGGGAGGATAAGCAACAGACCTGTGCAATGGTTGGCCCACACAAGCCGTTGTAGAGGTTACGGAAGTCCAAAATGCCATCAAATTTTAAAGGGGATCGAATGCGTATCGCATTCCACGAAAGTGCTTATTGACGACGAAAGGTCCAATCTTTTTGAGCCACATCCGGGTTTGAGGCGCATCATCTCTTTGGAACGGCATCGGATGGATCCTTGATCGAATGTTTGCAGATGACGGCTTTTCTGGTTAAACTTTCTTTTTAGCCTGTTCTCGAGATGTGCGCTTGCCTCACCGAATGATACATTTTGCCGCCCGTTTATAGATTCTATGATTTTCTTGAGATCAGACTATATGAAGGTCACGCCAGTCATCTACTACTTCGATACGTTCTTCAAGGAGGTAATGTTCCCGTTATAGTTGTTTTTCGTGCTTCAAGTGGCAAAACTGAGCACAGAGGGCCCCTTGGAAAAGGATGCGACGCAGGGGTACAGAAAGTTTGTAGGCTTGCTATTTTTGTGACGAAAATCTTTCACACTATTCTCTTATCTGTGTCAGCAATGGAGAACCAAACATTTCACTCAAAGACAAGCTGTACACTCACCACCGCAGAAGGTCCTTTCCCTGTGCGAGGTAAATGGGCCTGCAGCTGCAGCAGCGTGCACTTCCTTGACTTACACTCCCCATCCCTGAGTCGGTAGGCGTGGAATTTGAACATGGCGTAGGATGGGTTACTCGTGGGATATTCCGACTTGAGACAACTGTCTTCTTGTTCTGTGTTGAACAAAGGCATATCCACAACTGTCTCGAAATGAGAAATGCTTCACCAAAAGCACAGGCACCGCGGCACCGCCACATTTAGCTGAAGCACGCAGCCACGCTTACCGCATCAGGGATTTCGTGTATAAAAAAAAGCATGAGAATGGGGTAGATGGGCTGTGACACCCGAGTGCCGTCTCCTGCTCCGTTCGCTCTATCATTACGGTGGTTGTTTTGATACCGATTGCCGCAGCGAAACACACTTTCAGTGGTAGAAAACAACCAGAAGTGACGAGGAGCATACAAGCAGGGTGCAGCGCCGTTGTGTGGAATACGTGGAGGGGGTCGTACGTGACCGCTGAGGAGGGGGAGCTTGTACCAAGGCCCTCTCTTATGTGGGTTATGAGAAGGTGGGCTGGAGGTCCTCCGAGAGGAGATCATACTGAGACTATCATTTCGCATCACAATGCTGTACCCTGCATACAAGCGGCGCTTCTGGCTGTGGTTGGGCGTGTGGTTGACCGTTCTGCAGCGCGGAGCGAAATACAGATTCAGCACCGAGGTATCACTACCTTTCAGCCTTACCGTGCAATTTCGAGCAGAGAAGGTGGCACGCTACTGCAACTGAGGAAACCTTCATCTCACACATGGCAAGGACCAGGATCCATAGAGCTGGATCTTACGTACAGCTTACGAGCTCTCATGGAACTGATCTCCTTTTCCCAGAAACTGAAGCCTTGCAGGACAGTGTGGGACGCTGTTCGGGAGTGGGTTGGGAGGGGGGCATTTGTACCTCCGGCAGTTCCCTTCGCTAGTTCATGATTCAAAGGCATAAGGGACCATAAATGGTACTTGCAAAAAAAGCGAAAATCGATCGAGTCTAGAACTTTCTGCATCCTGATATCATCCCATCAAAAATAGCGCAGGGGTGCTATATGGTGGGGAAAATGACGAAAGAGGAGGTTAAACGTGACTAAATACCTGCAAAAGCCCTTTTTCTGCACAACATTGGACACCGAGTTTTCCGTCGTCATCGTGGCAATAACCGTTTTGGTAGGTATGGCTGCTCGTATGTATTCATGTATCTATGTAGCAACGCTTCATCTTGTACTTCATAAATGAAGCGATAAGAGTACCAGCGTCGATGTGACTGTGCGGCCATTTGTGGGCGGGCGGTTGCGATGGGCGTCTGGGTCGGCATGTTGCACCTTGGTTAGGCGCTGTAACGATGCCCTTAGCTGGAAGCTACGCAGTGCCTATTAGAGTGCACAAAATCCTTTTGTGTCAGGTGTATTGACCCTGTACGCCTTTGCGATTCATCCAGCTACATACCTTTAACAGTTCTCACTTATGTAAGGCTCATAAACTCTCATGGACGTTTAGTGTGATAATATGATAAGTACTATTAAATGAGAACTGAAAGTTATCACAAGAGTGCTGAATAATGGGCAAACGTCGGACTCTGGACGAGACTGGAACCTGTATCTCCCGCTTACCAGGACATTGCGTTATCCATTCGGCTACCGGGGTAATAAGCTGGAGATGTGGAATTTAGCTTCGCGGTTCACTGCCGCTATCGGCTAACCGGCATATTGAACGTGTGAAAGCTGGAAAGCAATGGCACAAAATCCTTTTGAGCCGAGAGTAAGAGCTGCACCGGTAGCGTAATGGATAACGTAATCACCCGGTAAGAATAGGGGTTCGAGTCTCGTCTAGGGTCTGACTTTTGCCCAGTGCTCATGCCTCAGCACTCTTGTGATAACTCTCATGAGACCGCTAGCTGTGAACCTCCTTGGCTACAGGCATTTACAGTATTCACAATGTGGCGTTCACGGCTCCGCTGGAAACCTTTGAAAGCCCTTCCAAGCCGAACTGCAACGAGTGTATTGTTTTTTACATTGCACTCAGTCGGGGACGTCGTCAGCAGGTCGGGATAAATCCCTGCCTGCAGCTCCCTTGCTCTGTCGACAGTGATCGAGTAGGGAACGATCCAGGAGGAAACAACCGGTGGTGGAAGCGCCGCAGGTGGGGACGCCGATTGCTTCCCAACTGATTGCAGTGATACCAACAATAATGACAGAAAGGGAGGGGCTAGTAATGCTAGAGGTCCTTTTATGATTCGGAGGAGAAGTGTCGCAGTATCGATTCTTTAATGAGGAATTTTTGAGATTATCTATACAAACTCACTTACGTTCGAGTTCTTCTTGCAGCCTGAATTCAAGCATATGATTCCGAGCAATATCTGGCCTAATCCGCTGGTACTTATTATCTTGATCCTTACGTGGTGCTGTGCTGGGTTTTCAGCCACTCTCGGGATTCGTTTTATTGCCAAACTAGCATATTTTGCCATAGCTATCGCGATTCTCAGTTGTATCGCGCTTACAGCGCTTGGTGAGCTTTTTTTGGTGAACTAGTTTCTTCCCATGATTCTTTCACTTATACCACAAGATGTCGTCCGCGATTACAAGAAGAGTGCAAGAGAACCGCTCAGCTGCGAGTCGCATCCTTGAAGCTAACGAGCCTCCAACCAGGGCACATTGCTGTTGGGGAATCCCCAGTAGGAGGGGGAGGGGAGGGGGGGGGGGGGTCGTATTTGGCCGCCAGGAGAGGGGGTCGTATTTGGGCTGGGAAAAATTTATTTTGATAGTTGATTTTTCTCGCTTCATGGACGTTGTAAAGGGGGGGGGGTCGTACTTGGTCATTTTGGGAGGGGGGTCGTATTTACGTTTTGGCGTTGGAGAGGTGGTTGACTTTTCGTGATTTCTCATGCCTACTATATACCCCCCCTGCCCCCCCCCCGCTCGACCGACAGCAAAATTTTTGGTAAAAAGTAGGAAGTTTTCGGGAAATTTCGGAAAAAGTGGCAGGAAGTTGGAAAAAATCTGAAAATTGGTAGAGGGGGATCGTATGGTCTCGCGATGATTTAATTGAAACTTGCAGCATGAACGATGCCTCAGTTGTCATCCACATCAGGTTCGCGTTTTAATCTATTTGAAACCAGGAACTTCGAAACTTGGAAAAGTGCCAGGAGCGCCGACTCGACACGGGCCCTGTAGATGGTAGATGGGATTGAAGTATGCCACCGGTATGCAGCGTGCCTGTGCTGCGGAGTTGTTCAAGACTTTTCAATAACCGTTGGAGTTTACCAAGGTTCACCCTCTCGCCATTGCTATTTATCCTCATCATGGACACCTCACACGAGATCTGCAACACGCTGCTCCATGGACTTTGCTCTATGCTGACGATGCTCATCCAGCGGACGTCACTGGGGAGGAATTGGAATGACTGTCTGAGCTAGTATGGCCTTCGCCTCAACATCTGAAAGACTGGACACTTGGAAACTGACTCTAGCGAAGGCATTCAAAGGCGGAAACTACGATGCCTTTGTGGTACCTAGGCACTCCCCCCCCCGCAAGGTGTGTTATATGAAAGGCGCATGCATCTTCGCCTGAAGTCAAAGATATACCGGACCATGGTTCGACCCGTGGCACTGTACGGATCCGAATGCTGGCCAGCAACCAAAAGTGCCGAGCGCCAACTCCACGCCATGGAGATGCGAATGCTTCGAATGTCAATGAGCTATCACAAGAATGCTGAGTTATGGGCAAAAGTCGGACCACGGACGGGATTCGAACCCGCATCTTCTGCTTTCCGTGCAGCTGCGTTCCCTATTACGCTACCGGGGCCACTTTTGACCACTCAGCTCAATGGCTATTTGTGCCATTGCCTTCGAGCACTCACACGTTCAACGTGATGAGCCGGTTAGCCGATATCGGCAGTGAACCGCAAGGCTGAAGGCTTTTACAAGTCAGTGAGCATTCCAAGCCTCGATAGAATGAGTAACGATGTGATTCGATGCCGGATGGGTGTCGCACCAATCGCCGAGAGCGATTCCAGTGGTATGGCCACGTTTTGCGAGCTCAGCGTGATACGGTCGTTTCTATTGCATATCGATTTGAAGTAGACGGTCACCGGCCGAGAGGAAGACCAAAACAACGCTGGCAGGACACCATAAATGCGGACATTGAGAATGGTCAACCTCGTAAAGAAGATGCACTAGATCGAGCAAAGTGGCGATTGTCGATCCGAAGAACGGACCCTGCACCAGCGGGACAACGTTAGGATGAAGAAGAAGATAAAGATGGAGCATGCCTGCGCTGCAAGTCTGCAGAGTATGGAGGAATTGGCCTACCCCACGGTCCTCGATCCCCATCCCAGCGTATGTTCGGACGGGGGAGTCCGAGCTCCCAGCAGAGTCTATCCTACGACACATCAAGCAACATCATGGATATTGGGGCGCCGCACGCAAGTTGTCTTTTCGAAGATAGTATGATTCCCATATGAACTAGTTATGCGCCTGACACCTCTATCCCGCATTTTCAAAAAACGAAAGTGGCACTTTTATTTTTCGAAACGGATGAGTACCAAATGCACGGAGGAGTTTCACTTGTCAGATTATCGCGGACGACATCTTTGGGAAACGAAATCTTTTCCCCAGAAGCGTACACCGAATATTGATTTTTGTTCCTTCAGCATTTACTGTGAGCGACGTCGTTTTCTCGCTACGACATTTCTACAGATTCCATACTGAAGCTACGTACACTATAGACGACTGGATCACCGCTGCTGGACAAGCGCTAATCACGCTCAAGTAAGTTGAT